TTCCTTACCCACAAGCCCATTTCAGGAGGGTGAGCTCCCTCGAACCAGCTCTCAGGTAGTAGAACCGAAGGTAAGGACCTATCAAGCTACCTCACAATTGATGAGGAGGTGACTGCAAGATTCTCCTTCATGTACATTAGGCAAATATGAGGCACAAGATACCACTGCCCCTTTCTTTTCCTTGGCAATCTGCCATAAGTATGTATCCCACCACAAGTAGCCTCCCAAATAAAGGACATTCTGAGGGGGACCACAGAAAGCTAAACCTTCCTTTCAAAAAAGAAGAATTAGAAGAGCCCACCACCAATTTGAGGAAATAAGACTTAACGGAGAACACACCATGAAGAAAAGGGGGATCAAATATTAACTACCTTTTACTCTGTTTTTTTTTCTTTTGAGAAATCATCATCAATCTAAGCCTTGTCCGAACTATATGGGATTTGACTACATGAATCATGTTTTGTCGTTCCATTCTGTTAAGCGTCATATTCATTGCTAAATTATGGGCCCTTAAATCATTTCTCACTACTTCAACCCATGTCCTTTTTGGCCTGACCCTAACTCTTCTAAGTTCTAACCCTTCAACTTGTAACAGATCATACATCCCCTTACTGATGTTGTAGATGTTCTTCTCTGCAAGTTCCCAAACCTTCTTAATGTACTTTCGTTTTAGTGCTTATTGGAGCTACTCCTAGGTTCCTTTTAATAAGTTCATTTCTGATCCTATCCTTTTTAGTTTTTCCACTCATCCACCTCAACATTCGTATTTCTACCACACTTGTTTTTTTTTGTGAACACGTTTATTGACCCAACACTCTGCTCCATCAATATTGCTGGCTTTATAACCATTTCATAATATTTTCCTTCCACCCAAATGATATTCTCCTATGACAAAATCCTATATGCACCACTCCATTTTGCCCATCCCACTCTGATTATATATAGGCAACATCCTAAATTTCTCCCTTGTCATTTATTATCAAACTAATGTAACACAAGAGATCACATTGAAATATCTCTTCGTCTTCATTCCTAAGTAAACCCTATTTTCAACTTCTATAATTATTAAAACCTCTTGCTTTAAGGTATTAATCCATAAATCTTGCACTTAATCCTTCCTCCTAAATATATTAAGTCAATTCAACCATGACTACTGCAAATAATTAAGGGCTTTAGTGATGTCCAGTTGCAACTGGAAACTCTGATGTCTCTTCCACAAGTGTCCTAATATTTGATTATATACATCCTAATAGATGCCCTTAATTAGGTTCATATACTTATTTGGCACTACTTTTTTCTAAAAGACATCATATTATCTCTTTAGAAACTCTATCATATGCTTTCTCTAGATCAATGAATACCATGTAAAGAACCCTCTTTTCTTGAAACTTTTCTCCTATCCATTTTCTTAATAGAAAGATAAGCTTTCATGATTTATATCATCGGCAAAGTACAACACCACATTGATTTTTTGACATGCTCGTTTTATGCCGTAACCTCTTTCTACCGAAGTTCCATATTGTGGCTCATGCAATTTAATCCCGCAATAGGCCTTCCTCCTCCATACCCATTCAAACTTATATTTAGATACCATTAGGTCCTAATGCCCTTCCCTTCTTCATATCTTATTTAAAGTCTTCCTCCTCCATACCCATTCACCTCTTTGATCTTCCTCTTTGATGCATATAACATGATTTAAATCTCTGCTTTTTCTTTCTTTTATCTTTGCAAGTTTATAAATTCCATTTTTCTCCTTCTTTAGATTTAAATTTGACTTCACTCACTTTCTCTTTAAATTCTTTTTCATTTTTCAGTCACCAATTCCCAATTTTGTAGATTTTCAGTTTTGTTTATTCTTTTTTTGTACTACTTCCCATTTAAATGAGGTGAAGTAATGCTTATTAATGCTACTTCTAGATACAACTTTATCTAACAATTTTGGGTTATGGAGAGGCTCCATTTTACTTGTAAATTAAACTCCTTCCTTTTTAATAATTTTTCCATCAAATAGAAACAGCCAATACTTGCAATAAAAAATTGAATTTCTTGCTAATCCTTAGTGCTACTGATAGGGGAGTTTGCATAGGAATATTGTAAAAATAAATAAAAAGCTTACTCTTGTAGACTATATCTTCATTTATTCTATAACTATTTCCTTGCTTTTATAATTGTGTTGTATATACATCTTACCTTACATTGCATAAAATTAATCTAGTTATTTTATGTAAGTATCTTTGTGGTTGATTTTTCTGGAGATTCCAGGCATACTCTAGGATACTTCATCGGGGGCAAAAATGCCCAGATATCAAGCTAACACCTCTCAACCATCAACAACTAACTCCACATTCTCAGTTGATGCAGAAGTAAATTTTAAAAATAAAGTTTCTGTCCTCCCACTTTGCCATATCTTTACACCTTTAAACTCACCAAAACACGAACCAAAGAAGCAAATAAACAACTTAAAGACTCACTAACAGGAAAATAAACACAAAAGAGAACATTAAAAAAGAATAAATAAAAACAAGAGGTGAGATCTAAATATGGAGGAGCATAATAAAGCCAAGTGCTTAGTGCTTACTATCTTTATCCTGTGATATAAAGCCATTTGTGAAAGGAGCAGACACCTCTGCAGATGCTTTTCCTGAATGACAGGGTATCATGTCAAAAAGAAGAGGAAAGAAAGACAATCAGGTATGAACCTAAGAGTATCTCATCCTCTAAAGAAAATTGTTAATGGAAGTGCAAATATAGGCTGTCTGGTTGACCAGGAAACACAAGAATTTAGTTAAAATCTAGAAAGAATTTTCTGGCATTCTCTTATTAGAGTGCCTCTATTTGATCCTCACAAAATATAGGTCAGACAAACACTATTAATTCCATTGAATCATCTGACACTCAGCAGTTATTTCTTTCATCTAAAAATCTACTGAAAAAAAGTGATAGAAATAAAAAGGATAGTGACACTTCAGGGCCCAACTTTCACTTGTGACAGAGAGCTACCCTGTACTTTCAGATTCCAACACTTTACTCCCTCCATTAGCATTCCGTCAGGTAAGGGGTGAGAAGATTCACATGTGATATTATGTGCAGCTTTAAACATTTATAAAACCCTAAACTACTCTTTCCTTGTTTATGTGGCTAGACATTGTAATAAAAAGCATAAAAAAGGTGGTCATTGGATCCCCTCGTGTTGCCTTCTTAGTTGCTAGCCTGCTACCGCTAGATTGTGAGGGCTGAGTTTAACATGAATGAGGTGGCAGTGAGAGATTTTCGATTGGAAACCGAACAAGAGCAAGACTGTTAGGGGCAGTAACAGATCATGGCTTCATATTTGGTTTATTGATTTGAGCCTTTGAATAGGGTTGGTGTCCAACTGGTTATAGAAGGAAATGAGTGGTGGTTTAGCAGGGTCTCTTCCAACCACCAATAGTGGACAGAGTGGAGGTACCAGTGTAGGCTAGGTGCATGCATTAACCGAGCTTAAACATGGAATGAGCAGAGCCAATAACAGGTAGGTTTTGGCTTGTTTTCAATCTTTGAACAGAAGGGGAGGGGGTAGAAATGAAGGAAAAAGATGTAAGGGACCTGGATCTTTTATTGTTTGAAGGGATTAACTCGGATGCTTTGATTCTGGCTATAATGGAGATGTTTCCAGTTTTGGTTGACATCATGAATGAGGCTCTCTTTTGGAATGAAGGATGGAAGAGAAACCCGGTTCTGCTGGGATGATCATCGTTTTGGACAGGAGAGATGAGACTGTGTATTGAACATGGGTCTCCAATGGTGGCTGATGGTCTGGGGCTGCACAGATTTGGTTGAAGAAAACAGAGTAGAAGAAAAGAAGGAAACGGAAGCACTAACTCAATTCAGATAAAAAAACAAAGCTCTCCCAAGATAGACTGGGCTTTTCCAGCACAGGCTTGAAGAACTGAAGGAACAGCTACCTTGTTAATTCAAGCGTTCGGTATAGGCCCGTGCTTCAAAGAGAAGATAAGCATGTTGTTAGTCAAGCCCCATATAGCTTTAGTTCACAACAGGCCGTGGTAGAGGGAAGCTGGCAGTTAAAGAGATGGCATTTGTAACTTGATTCTTGTTAATGACTTGGGCTCTAATATGCAGTATGTGGCCATTCAAAGCAAGCTACCATTCAAGAATTTCTCAAGATGTCATCCTCCAAACTTATTTTTCTTACAGCTCCTTTTGTCAATTTGTTCCTCTCAATATTTGGACCATGTTAAGCCCCAAGTTTAAGGTTCAATTAACTGAAATTCAAACTGATTGAGCCACACTCGACACTCTATTTTGATAGGTCTTGGTTTTGTTGTCAAGTTATTTCACCACCTTAAAATGCAGGTAGCTGTTGATTGCCTTCCTGTATGATTTATCCAGCAAAGATTTCTGTAGGCATCATGTAAGTAACAAGAATTTAATACTCCAATGAGTCTACGTAACTCATTCAATCAATTGCTGTGATGTTTTAGGTATGGTAGATCTGTTAGAAGATGCTAGCCGATGAGTTACTGTAAATTCTAAATGGCTTTGTCTGGTAGTTTCAGCTAGATGGGATCCTGCTAGCCCCCAAGAAAGAACATTGAAGAGGCAAAATTGACTCATCATCCAGGTGTAACATTTCTTATACAATTTGTAAGATCAATTGATAAAAGTTACAGCAAATGATACTTGCTTGTTTGATTGCCTGTAACTGGTCCATACATTTCTTCAAAAAAACAGTAACTGGTGAAGAGAAAAGGATGAGAAGAAATTCATACATTACCTCTTCTTAAAAAAAGGATGAGAAATGGAGAAGAAACAGAAAGCTGGAAGGGGAAAGACGGGGAAGAGAAGAAAAAGAAGAGACAAGGAAGAGAAAGGAGCAGGGGGTGACTGGACTATGAACTGGTGGTAGTTACCTGCTATGGGTTCTGTTATAAGCTCTTGACAGAGAAAGCAGGAGGGAGGAAGGAAGCAAGGAAAAGGAAGGAGGCAGGAGGCGAACCAGCTCTCCTTCTCAACCATGTTAGTTTGGTTATGGAGCGAGTGGTGCAGATTTAGTGGTGGCAGCAGAGAGGAAGGGAAGAAGAGAAAAAAAGGAGTTGAGCCTGTGAACAAAGACCAGGCAAACCGAGTTTTGACTTTTGAGAGGGAGTGAAGTGTTGCAATATGAAAGTACAGTTTTCAGAAGGAACAGAGGGGAAGAATTGAGTTTACCTCAAATGGGCATTTTAGTAAATTTGCCCTTACCATCACATCCATTAACGAAGGAGCGGAGTGTTGGAATCTGAAAGTACAGGGTAGCCCTCTGTCGCAAATGAAAGTTTGTGCCCTTAAGTGTCACTACCCCCAAAGTACAGGTTAGTTCCCTGTAATTTACGTTTTCCCTTAAATTTTTCATGTTTTCCAAAAAGGCTGACAGAAAATCAGTGGTATTCACAAAACAACTGTTAAATATCATTTAGAGACCACCATTTCAACATTAAAATGGGTCCAGCAGTTCTAAGTATTAAAAAGATCTCAAATTTCTGACTTGTTCTTTGACAACTAATTGTCAGAAAACTCAGAATATTGTGTTTCTTTTCCTAAGTTTTTTTTCTCTTATCTTTTGAGGCATTTTCTTGAGTATCAAACATAGCCATAACTCCCAGGTAACAGAACTTATCATCAATTGGGAGCTTTATGTCACCCTCAACATTACCTCCACTATTTTGGAATGCCCAGACCAAAGCACACTTGCACTATAGTTGATAAAATCAGATCGGGGACTAATACCTGGGGTTGAAACCCACCTTCACCTACTAACCACTGGCCATGAAGCTTACTGATTAAATATAGCCCAAATTTTTCAAAGAACAATAGCACATACACCGATAACAGAATATACACCAGATTTAACCTCAACAACTACAAAGAAGATTTGTGAGATGACAGAAGAGAAACAACAATCGAGGATGTGAGAGAGAAACACAAGCAAGTTAAAGTGAGGCATTTGGTCCTGGAATTATGAACTAGCATTGATGCAATCAGAAACTTAAAGTTTTGAACCATCCCATTGAGGCAGTGCTGATGCATTCTTTGCATTAAATAGAATAAAGAAAGAAAACTTAGCAAATCAAAAACATGCTCACAACATACAAACTCATGTCAAATTTTCAGAAACAAAAGCATGACACGAGGCATTCCACTTGCTTGAAGCATGGGGCATAAGCCTCATAAGCACCAATTTATTTTTTTTAATGAGTAAGGATCCATTTATTTCATGCTATATATACATGCCTTGTATAATAAGAATGAATGGGAAGATATACTTCGGATGACTTTTGTTTGGTACTTGGTCGACTACCCTTTTATCTAACAAAAAATGGCGGTTCCTTGTATATCCTATTTTTTCTTTTTTATACTTTTAACCTACCAACATTAGCATTTTATCCAGTTCCAACCTTACTTCTTTTATCTTTTTCTTCTTTTCCACTCTTTTGATTGGTAATCTTTCATCATTTTATTTACAAAGTACACATTATCACAGCCTTGCACAAAATGGCAGGCTGGTCTTATTTGATCCAGTAAACAAAAAGATCTATGTTTGTTGGTTTCATGGTGAAGGTGAGCCCTATCCTTGCAAGGTGCCAGCTGGCTGGTTGGTAAGGTCTCCTGCTGGTTGTAGTGAAGTACTGATTTAATTTGACCTAGAAAACAAAAAGAACTGCATCTTCATGTTCAACCACTTACTTGAGCCTTGTTTCACTTGAGTATGATGAAGGTTTAGAGAATTTGAAGAGCTTAGTTGATAGAGAAGTGGAAATCAGAATGTCTATAGGCTTATTCTTTTTGGGAGGGGAAAGTATTGTTAGGAAAGCTTTGGAAGCCTTTGAAAGGAAGAGGAGAGAAGAAAATGCGAGGAGACTGGCAGACGCTCTTGAAGGAGAAAATTGGGACAAGGAAGGAAGCTGTGAAGAGATTGGAGAGATTGAAGAGTAATTGTGCTCCACTGCCACATTGTGTGAATGAGGTATAAGTGTCGCCTATTGAGCTTGCCTTTTGTATGTTTGTTTGTTTTAGAATGGGTTGGAGGCCTTGTAGGGCTTGTGGGGTGTTATCTTAACACCTGATTCGGTTGTATTCCTTTTCTGTTTTCCCTTTAATATAATATTTTCTTTTACTTATCAAAAAAATGATGATGGTTTAGATGGATAACAACAAGCTGGAAAAAAAAAAAAGTGATAAGGGAAAGGATGCAGGGATCATAGGTACGTAAAAATGGTAGACTATCTTATAAGAGCCTTTTGTCCGGGCCATTAATTAAAGGTTAATCATTGTTTTGCGTTATGGTGATGTGATCAAGTGCTTCAAGGAGACAAGGATGTTTTGTTTTGTAAAAAACCATTTTGCACAGAATCATTTTCCTTACTTAAATCAGTTCAAGTGCTTCAAAGATGTTTTGCTTTGTTTTGTAAAGAACCATTAGCATAGAATCATTTTGTTTGCTTAATCAGTTGCCTTCCTCTTGAAACGCAGTGATACCATTACAACAGATTTGCTCTTTTGTCAACCACAAACAATGCAGCTTTAATGTAATTTATCAGCTACCAAGGGGTGGACTTCCAATAGGTGGGATTCTCGGTTAAAGAAACTTGGAGTATGCCTATCCCGCTCAAAATTCAAACTTTCTGCTTGGAATTTTTTCTTGGTAAGGTAAATACTTGTGACATGCTGCAGTAAAGAATGTCTTTCGTTTGCCTCTCTCCTCATTGTCTGTTCAATTGGGCCTATGAATCATTTTTACCATAAATTCATAATTTTTAAGTGATGATAAATTTTACTATCACTTGTATTGGGCTCAATTGTAATGTTTTTTCTGATTTTTAACAATCTAAAGAGGTGAATCTCACACTTCCCTTTGGGTTCCATGTATTTATGCATATATTGACTTTATAATAAAATTGAAGTTACTCGTCAAAAAAAATGTCCCTCTTTCTAAATGAAATTTTAGTGGCAATCCTGCAGTCTAATTGGTCTTTGCTTATATTCCATCCTAGCATAATAGAAGAAGATTGCTATTACTGAGAACAGTTTGACATCACATGCTAGTTTTTTTGGTTGCCTAAAGCCAAAGTAGCCTATTCATAATGTAAAATGGCCTACAGGCTAGAGAAACTACAACTTCAACTTACAATAGCAATTTCTTCATTGAAGATTATTCCTGGATATAAATAAAAAATCTATGCATTCTTTATCCCTAGGAATGTCTTAATGGGACAAAAATTCCCATGTTACAACATGCAGATGATATGCTCCTTTTCTGCAATGCTTCAGAGGATCAATTTATAAAACTCAAATATCTACTGTTCTGGTTTGAGATTATTTCAGGTCTGAAGGTGAATTTAGCAAAAAGTGAAATAATAGCTGTGGGGGAAGTGCCTAATATTCAAGAATTGGCTGAGCTTTTGGGATGCAAAGTAGGTAGGCTGCCCTCAAATTACTTGGGTCTGCCCCTTGGAGCTAAATGTCCTTCTAAAGCTATTTGGGGCTCAGTTCTAAAAAGAATGGATCAAAAACTGTCAACTTGGAAGCCAAGACATCTCTCTAAAGGTAGAAAGGCCACACTAATCAAAAGTGTGTTAGCTAGTCTTCCAACTTACTTTATGACCTTTTTTCCCATCCCACCGGAGGTGGCAAAGGAAATGGAGAAAAAGACGAGAAACTTTCTTTGGAAAGGCTGGAAAGAGGCTCACAAGTATCATTTAGTGAGTTGGGAATAAAGCTGTTCAATATAGCTTTATTGGGAAGTTGGCTATGGAGATTCTCAACAGAACCAAATAATCTGTGGAGGAAAGTGATAGAGGATAAATATGGCCTAAGGAACAATGGGTGGGATGCTGGACCACCCCCTCAAACGTATGGATGTGGAGTGTGGAAAAGAATATGTAAGGCAGCTAGAAAGTTCTCCGACTGCATCAGATTTAAAGTGGGAGATGGAAGAAAAGTGAAATTCTGGTCAGACCACTGGATTGGTGGCAGGCCCCTAAAGGAGCTGTTTCCTGACTTATACGATGTGGCCTCAGATAAAGAAGCCTTAGTAGCAGACTCATTCAGACTTTAGGAGAATAGCATGTGTTGGTCTGCTTCTTTTAGAAGGAGCTTCAATGACTGGGAAATTCAGCAGGTTGCTGATCTTCTCTCTGTTACAAAGCCAGCAACCAAATCTCCATTCCCAAGATGCAAAATGCTGGAAAGGGACCAAAACTGGTGTCTTCACAGTTAAATCCTTCTATTATAAGCTAGTGGGGAGGACTGAAGATCCTTTTCCTAGTCGGGCCATTTGGGGGAATCTAGCTCCTTCAAAAATTAAGTTTTTTGTTTGGGTTGCAGCTTTCGAGAGATGCTTGTCTAAGGAAATGTTGATAAAAAAAGGAATGAGCATTCCAGATCTCAGGTGTTGTTTATGCAATGAGGAGGTGGAGTCTGATTGACATCTTTTCCTCTACTGTAAGTTTAGTTCTGCATTATGAAGCCACTTTTTGAAATCACTGAATTTGAACTGGTGCATGCCAGCACCAGTTAAAGCTCTTTTGGAAGAATGGCAGATTTCTGGACTTTCCAAAAAAGGGAGACTTTGCTGGGCTTCTGTTCCTCCAGCAGTGCTCTGGGCTGTGGTCAGAAAGAAACAGAAGGTTGTTTGATCAGACATCCACTTCTGAAGCCGAGGTCATCAATTCAGCCATAGATGCCATTAGGAGATGGTTGTCAATACATACTGAATTCAAAGATGTAACCTCTGATCATACTTTTTTTAGAGTGGACATTTTTTGAGGTCCTTTTTTGTACAGTTTCTCGTTGTACACAGTACCAGTTAATATAATCATACTTTACGTTCTTTCAAAAAAATGTCTTGATGAGATTATGTGAGATCAACGAGACCCTGAAAACACTAATATGCACAAATCACATTTTGAGCACTTCCCCCATTCATGATCAACACTGCATCATGTTTATCCAGTTCGGTGCAAAGACCCAAAAAAGAGAGGGAAAAAAAGATTACCATTTTCATGGACAGGGCCATTTGCTTCCTTGAGTAAAGACGATTTCTCAAGACTGGTTCTTGAGGGCCACTGGTCTGTCGACCGAATAACTAGTGCTCTTGGATTTTCTCTTGGGATAAAAAGAGCATCTGCCTTTGGTGTGCCAGACACTTCTTCATCATCACTAAAGAATGGAACCTGCATAAAACAGCAATTAAGCTTTTTTTCCAGTAAATGGCTTTCATATTGGAACCAGATCCCAGATATAGATAGACCCAAATTGGGATGAATCTGATGAGCTATATTACCAAAACAGTACCACAAAAAATTTCAACTAAGCTTCCTTAACCAAATTCTTACCTTTGGACCATCACTTTTTGGATGATATTTCCTTGCTGGCAACCGAATCCTTCTTTGGGACAAGTGTCGAGAAGTTAACGAGGAAACTCTAACTGGAGCAGGCTTGTCAGTAACCTGTTTGGGAATGATGCCAAGTTAAATGAATTAAGCAAAGTAATATCACATGAAAACAGCACATGCACATAAAGCTTATGCACCAGATCTACTTTTGCCTTTTTTTTTCTATATCCTTCTAAGTTTGTTAATAAAACTTTTTGATTACTCATCCAGAAAGAAGAAAAAAGAACTTGTGCAGTAAATCTACTAAATAGCAGCTAAGAAGACCCTTCCACATTGGTTCTAAACAGAATGTTGTGAAAGGCCCCAAAAAAAACAACCACAAATGCAACACATCAGGGACTAGTGAAACAAAAGCACATTTCCTAATAATAATATATTTTAGGATCAAACAAGCTCCTGTTACATAAAGACCAAGTTTTAGAGTAGGCAAGCTATACCGGCATGCTAGAAATTCCATATTGAATTGAGGGCGCAGACCCAGAGTGACCAATAGATATCTGAGGCATTGCAGGAAGAGTTCCAAAAGGATTGGCAACAGGTGCTGGTTGAACAACAGCAGTGCTCTGAGTTGCGGACCTGTTAAAGATATAAATATGAACAAATATGAATCATTAAATGAATAAAGAAAAAGAGAACCATGTAACATAATACAGAGAAACCGACATCAGTAGATCCTATCTTTAGCTAAGTGCTTTGCATTTTTCATTTCAGATATGAAGGATATCACTTGATTAGAAATACCGAAGGAAACAACTTTTCATGCACCACTAACACTATGGAGATGCGAGATGCATAATACAACTCAACCCAACAAAAAACATGTTGACCATCTACAACATCAGTAAGAAGAAATGACCTGTTGTAAGTTTGAAGGATCTAGAAGAGCTAGGGGCAGACCAAAAAGGAAATGGCTTGAACTAGTGAGAATCACTTGAGGGCATATAACAACAGATACGACACTGAAAAGAGCAGAAAGGCAGAACAGGATTTATGTAGCCAAACCCCATATGGAGGAACTAAGGATTCCACACAACCCACCTCTAACAATCCTGTTGCACAAGTTGAGGTGTAGGTTGGACACAACTCAACTGTATCAAACTAAAACCGATCCATTGGATGGCCCTAACTAACTAAACTGATACAAGTTTTTCAGTTGACAAAAATTAGAAAATGGTCAAGAGAGAGAGGAGAAAAGTGATAAAACATACGATTGTCCAAAGGTACTCTGACCAAAAATGTTTGACACACCACCAAAGCCACTTGAAGCTGCTGAAATAGAAAGAGTTGAAGCCATTAGTTAAAAATAAATAAATATGAAAGATGAAGAAACCATGGTATCTTAAAATACCTGTTTGTGCCTGGCCAAAGTTTCCGAAGGAAAATGCCCCAGTTGTCTGGGCAGGTTGTGCAGGCTGAAAAGGATTAGAAAGAAAAGACTAGAAATGAAGAACATATAAAACCAAAAAGTTACTAAATGAAAATGTAATGTAACCTAGAATGAGAATAAAACAATAACAAAACCTAACAGGGATTAAATAAAATGTAGGTGGAAAAGTAATTTGGTAATTTAAGAATAACCATCGAAAAGATTGTAAGAAGAATTTGTTGCCACATCATTAATATACAGTCTTGTGGCATTATTATATGGATTATGATTATCAAATGTTTGCTCGCATATTAAACTAGTTAGAACTGTATTAAAGGATCATAAATTAACAATGGATATGGCACTGAACAGAATGCAATGGCAGAATAAGATTCATGTAACTAACCCCATATAGTAGGGACAAGGTTAAGGCTTTTTGTTGGGAAGTGGGCCTCAGCAAAATCAACATTTGTTATATGCTCCAAAAAAGGAGACCCAATGGTGAGACTTTAACCCACTTACTAATCTCCTGATCTTCTGTGTCTAGATTTTGGGGGCACTTTTAGGGGTGTCAACAATATTCGAAAATCCGATTTCGAACTTGAGATTCGATATAATCGAATCAAATTCAGATAATTCAAATATCTAACCGGTCGAATTTGGATATCCTATTCATACCGAATAGCTAATCGGATTCGAATTCAGATATGACCTGATTCGATTCGATAAATATCCGAATTTGGCCGATTATTTAATTCTTATATATAATATATAAAATTTTTAAATGTTTTATATAATTTATATATATAATAATTAAATTATATAAATAATTTATATATTTATATACTTTATATAAATAAAATATTTATTTTATATATTTATTAATTACCTAAAATAATTAATTAGTCAAATTCGAATCAAATCGAATATTCGAATATTTAATCGGATTCGAATTCAAATATTAATTTTCAATATCCGTTGGATATTGAATCGAATTCAGATATCGAATTTTTTAATCGGATTCGAATTCGATCCATTTACACCCCTAGGCACTTTTGCTTTCTCTTTGGCTACGGATGGACTTCACCTCAGAATTCTGCTACCTGCTAGTATCGAATTTTTTAATCGGATTCGAATTTGATCCATTTACACCCCTAGGCAGTATTGACAACACTCAACAGTAACCCTCTCCATGGTGCACTAAGCCCCCAGATTGCATATATATAGCAAATTCAGTATGGTTTATGACAATCCAAAATTAACTCAGTAAGATGCAAACCGAGGTTTTCCCAACCATAACCAACCTCCCCATCCAGCCCCTTTCTCATATGCAACATCAAGATAAGAAATTTAAAGATGTTAAAAATAAACATGTTTATAATTGTCCAAGGGACTTACAGTTGTTTGACTGAAACCCAATGGAGTGCTTGTAGAAGGCATAGATGGGGTGCTTGAGAACAAGCTCCCTCCAAAACCAGTTGATGGTGTACTGAAGATGCTTGGCTGACCAAAGGAAGAAATTGTACTTTGTCCAAAAGTAGAGGTAGTCTGTCCAAAAGCAGAACTTGTCTGCCCAATTGAAGGTGTTGTAGACTGGAATAATGGAGATGACTGGGTATTGCCAAAAGTCAAGCCAGAACCAAATGTTGAAGTCGTTCCTGGAACAGAAGAAGACCCGAAAATTGAGGGTGATGACCCAAATGCAGATGTTGTTGATGCACCAAACAGAGATGGGGATGAAGTAGCTCCAAATGCAGGGGTTGATGGTGCACCAAATATAGATGTAGATAATGAAGCTGTTCCAAATGGGTTTGTTGTTGATGATGAGCCAAAGGGTGATGAGCTGAATGCAGTAGTAGATGAGGTACCAAAACCTGAAGAACCAAAACTCGTTTTTGGAGCAAATGGGTTAGAAGATGTTGAAGTGGAAAAGGGATTTGCAGAAGACTGTCCAAACGTAGGTGAAGCACCAAATGGACTTGGCTGTGAAGTAGGGGAACCAAAACCAATTGCACCTGTAGGCTGACCAGCAGGATTTGGCCCACCTGAAATGTCAAATATTTATGCAAATGCATAAAAATTAGAAATATACATATAATGAAAGTAAAAGCAGAATATCTCAAGGCATTCATATGACTACATAAGGCATACCTTTATCTCCCAACTGATAATCCTCCCACCTTAATTCTTCGTGGCTTTTATCTTTGTAGGTGGGCATAGCAGATATTGACTCCAGCTTTCCAGCGGGCTGAGTACCAGTGCCGCCATCCACCTCACCTGTTGGGGTGTAAGGTGTAACTCTGCTTCCCCCACGCTGAGCTCCAAAAGCTGACTGCCCGAATGCTGTGCCTCCAAATGTTGGTGTAGTTGTCTGGGCTCCTGTATGTAAATTTCAACAAAATATCAAAACCCAGGTATTTGTGGAACAAAAGACATTAAATATACCCACTAAATTTTTCCCTAAACCCCTTTGTAGTAGTATGCAAATCACCATTGGCATTCCAAACTGTAGAACCACCAATATAGGAAAAGCACTCACCAAAAGGAGAACTCTGAGCTCCGAAAGGGGATGTAGTTGCCCCAAATGGACTGCTACCAAAAGCAGAAGTTGATTGACCAAAGGCTGGACTTGAACCAAAACTAACGGAAGGAGTACCTGATGCACCAAAAGCAGGAGTACTTGAAGCACCAAAAGCAGGATTACTTGAAGCACCAAATACAGGAGAATTTGAAGCACCAAATGCGGGACTGCTGGAAGCACCAAATGCAGGAGTGCTGGAAGCACCGAATGCAGGGGTGCTTGAAGTCCCAAATGCTCCAGCAGAACCAAATGCCGGTGCACTAGATACACCAAATGCTGTGCCCGTACTGCCAAATGTTGGTGTTGTTGTGCTTCCAAAAGCTGGGGTAGTTGTGGCACCAAAGGCAGGGCTGCTTGTAGCACCGAAGGCAGGGGTACTTGTAGCACCAAAGGCAGGTTGACTTGATGCACCAAAAGGTGAAGAGGAACCAAATAAACTGCTGCCAAAAGCTGGTTGTGTTTGTTGAAATGCACTTCCAAATGGACTTGATAGAGTAGGAGTTGACCCAAATCCTCCAAATGCAGGCTTCTGCCCAAATATAGAAGACCCTATAAAAGAAGGAACAAGTAAAAGAATTGTCAGTCAAGAAAGGCTATTTAACAAATAAAGTACATAAATGGATAACAAATACACAAAATGACGACAAATAGTTCCTCCATTTGATGAATGTAGGTAAAGAGGTTCTATTCTGACAAAAATGAATATAAATATATGTTAGAAAAACAAAACCAAACTAATTTTTTAGAGGGTTTCATACACTCTTAGGGTTGGAAGTTAAACATTTATTTTATTTTATTTTATTTGTTGGGATACTGGTTTGGAGTGATGCCTTTTATTTACATTTATGCACAAACAAGTAAGATACCCGCATATGCTATTAATGTTTCATGTATTGAAAATAATGAAAATTGATATCGCAATATCCAAACTATCAAACAGTTCCTTGGCACAGTGCAGGACAGAGTAGAATCAGACCAATGATAAAGATAACAGGTTAAAAATGCTTGCTTTATTGTCAAAAAAATAACAATAACAATACACATTATGAAAGCTCAACAATATGTCACAAATCATACCAAATGTAGGCGTTGAATTTCCAAAAGCTGGTGACGATGAAGCACCAAATGTTGGTGTAGAACTTAGAGGTGAAGAAGATTGAGTTGCTCCAAATACACCAGTTGATGTGCCACCAAATATGGAACTCCCTGTCTGTGAACCAAATGGTGTGGTACTACCAAAGGGTTTGGGAGCAAAAGGATTGGTGTTAGAATTGCTGGTCTGCCCAAAAATTGATTGGGATCCAAAGGGGCTGCTGGAAGACTGCCCAAAAGCTGTTAAACGACAATGAATGAACACTCATCAATTATAGTAACAAAATCCGGAAACAACTTGAAAAAGAAAATTCTCCAAGAACAGAAACACACATGAGAAATAACACACCAAAAGAAAAATACACAAGTTGCAACCATATTTATGTAAAATCTAGAAACATCCTTTTGACGGTTCTTTTACTCAAAGATACCCACTCGACAGTTGGTTAAAAGTGAACTAAAGATTCAGGCATGCAGCAAGATTTGGAATGCATCCAAAATCCAAACTTCCAAAATAAATGGTGAAAGAACTGCTAAAATAGACATTTGCCACCGTGCAACATTGAAATTCATAATTACAACCAAATTTAAAGAGGTGAATCTAGAAACCAAAAAAAAAAAAAGAAAAGCGATTGGTGGAAGGCGAAAGATTGACGATGTGAGACGTCGCAACAAATAACAAATGCAACCAATATAAGAACAAAAATCATAAGAAACACTAAAATCCTTTCGATATTACTAGCTAAATTTCAAACCAATATATACAAGTACAGAGTGTGAGAGAGAGAGAGAGGCGCAAATATCATAAAAGAATTCAAGCAAACTTTCCAATAGACACAGAGGCTGAACCCGACAACAAAATGAATCGAAATGCAATAAATGATGACTTACGGTTACTCGAACCAAACATTTGGCTTCACGTTCTTCAATCCGAATCGACTTACTTTCTGCAATTCGGATATAAACAGAGAGAGAGAGAGAACATGAATCAGAGAAAGTAGAGTGATACGATACGAACTGAATCTTCCGATATTTATATGCGTTCCAAGCTTCCTTGATTCGATCGGTTAACGCGTGCTTAAATCCAACGCTAATTAGCCATCCTACATGAAAACGAAATTATTATATTTCGATCATTAGAGACTCGTACCTGTTCACGCGGTTCAGAGGCAGTGGATCGAACCGGTAAAGGGGAAGGTGCAGGGGTTTCTATTTCTGTTCTCTCATGGCCAGGGCAGTTGAAGAGACGAGAAAAAAAAAAAACAATGGGGATTCCACTTCCAGAGGGTTTAATGCAGGAAAGAAGAGGGGGAGGGAGGAAGAAAGGAGACGGTGAAACTTTTGGTAAGAAGAAGCCCTTCTTTTGTTTCTTCTTGGTATTAATATTATTTTTTCTTTTTTGGAGAAATATTTACGTATATGCTGGCTTTTTGTTTTTAGATAGGGGTATGGAAGACGTGCCAAATTGTTGATTTGATCAACGGCTCTGATCTATGGGCGAAGAATGTTGTATCAACAATCAACATGTGGTCAGTGACTTGGTTCACACATTCCCTTTATGGGTCTACCCGAATTGCATCTCGGCAAGACAATAATAATGTGTTGTTCTTGCCACGTGGAGGATGCTGGTTGAGTTAACCTTGCCACGTAAAATGGTAACTGTTAGCCCCTGATACCGTTTTGACCTTGTAGACACAAGAGCGATGTGCAAAATGGTTCGAAGCAACAACCATTGTTTTGTCAATGCGTAGTTTAGGCTCCATTTGGATCTACCCACAATAGTCCTACTCACGCCTCACTACATCTGTGTACATTAAGGTTGCCTTTGACTGGAGTGTAAATTTATTTGCCAACACAAGTGCATAAGAATGCAAATTTTTGTTTAATTTTATTTTTGGAGTTTATTTATTCTACTTCATGTCTTAATTTACTTCATTTGTATTCCAATCAAACAAAATAAGTTAAAATCTAAAACAAAAATAGGTCAAAATTTATATTCAAATCATTTGCACTGCTATTGTTTTGCATTAATACAAATTTATTTGCATTGCAACCAAACATAGGAACACTAGAGACTGGATTCTTGTGGGTAGGATATCTGAATTGCCATTTAAGACCGGATCTAATCTTAACAGCAAGCATTATAGTTATATATCAGGAACATCTTGTCAGGAAGGAAAATAGAGATGTTTTCAATACATGGCTGCTAAGGCTGTTGAGATAGGTTATTGAGCCTGATCAACAAGAGTGAAAATACAAAATATAATACAAAAGTTTTATATTTGCATGAAACATGTTTATATTTATACTCTTTCACCAGAGCCTTAAACTCAGTTTGGAAGGAGGAATTGGTTTTTCTAAGACAATTGGTATAACAAGCATGGAATTCATAATATATTAAATATATTATATATATATTTAATATAAATAATGATTTATACTATATATAATATATATTATAATTTATATAATATAAAATATTATGTAAGTCAAGTTTGGGTATAGCTTTTATCAAAATTTGAACGGGTCCGATTACAAGCTTGAGTCCTATAAAAGTCAAACACGAAAGCCTTCCTATAATGTGCAGGCTGGCTGCCTTGCAGGCCTTACTAGAAATGATCACCCCTACTAGGGCTACGACTATTGTTAAGAGTTGACGATATAGAGACTATAATTAATATAATGCTTTATAACTGAATAAGTAATGAAGATTAATTATAGTGTTGCTAACAAGGTAAGCTTAGCTTATTTAGAAATTAAATCAGGAGCAAAAAACCCTAACTTATTTTCCCTAGAAGGTAGCAACTATAAGTTATTCATTCAACAAGACAAAAGTCCCAAGTATGATCACCTAAAACTAAGGGATTTCAATTGATTGGGTTTGGATCAGATTAGCAATTCTTGAGTGATCGTTAAGTTGGACAAGAATGCCACGTGGTGATCTCTGTGCTTCTTTTTCAGGTCACACCAATGTCACACATAACAAAAGAGTACAAGTAAGAAGGAGTGTTCTACACAGGCAAGGAAGCAGATTCCGCCGGGGAAGAGGGAACCTCCTGAAGACCTTGGCAGATGCCCTCATTTCGACAACCCCGGAAGCCCTATCCATCTAGGACACGGATGCCCAACTATAAGTAGGTATTCGGTATTCCCCATTCGAGGTAAGGGACTCTTGGAATTCTTCACTCTTTGAATACCTCTTCACAACTATCTCTTCGACTCGGACCAACATTGTCTCAACTTGCTTGTCCCGACCGCATCCCTTTCTATCCTACTAACTTGAGCGTCGAAGTGCCTACCCAGGGAATAACTCCTCGGGCCTTTGACCCTTCTCCTGGTTGTAGATCTCAGTGCGCGACTTCATCATTCCACCTCGGCCTCATCCAGTTGGCAGGACTATCTGATTGCGCCTTTGGTTTGGAATACCTCGGATCAGGCAGCATCATATTGGCATCATCTGTGGGAAACATGCAAAAAGTCATTTCCCAAACCCCTTTTCGTGCACTAAAAGCAACCTTGTGTAAGAACACATCCGACCGCTCCAGAGCCCGTTCCCCATCTTAGGGATCCCGCTCACTTCGTAGCTCCCCGCTTTGAGAGCCCCAGCATCAGGTAGCAATTGACCCTACGCAATTCCAAGCCATGCAGCAGAAGGTCGACCATATCCTAACCATGATGGAGACGCTAGGGCAACCGACATACGCCCCCCAAGCTACTTCCCTTGCCGCGCAGGCGCCTACTATATCTGATCCTCACACCAAGGACCCCAAAAGGAGTCACGCAGATAGGCATAGGGCCCAATCCGACTATGAACAATTGCAACCATCCAAAAGAACAAACTCCCCAACCCGGCTTCACATGCACAACACCCGTAGTAGATCCCATCACTCTGCCACTCGGGTACTGGAAAACGGCTCAGCCAACGTCTACAGCAACTGTTGATCTCGATAGCTGAACCTAACTCGGTCTGAGACTGGCCTGTGATCCTAAAAGGGGAAAAGTCCGCAAACGTGGTCTCAGCCGACAATGACGCAGAAATTAGAAACTAAGAGAGCGCTTGGCCGAACTGAAACATAACCAAGCGGATAGAAGCACAACTCCTCTGATGGCCTGACCCTCAGAGCAGCACCACAGCCAGCCTGCAAAGGAACCCGTCTTCGTCTAGGAGATCATTGATGAGCTTCCCCCAGTCAGATGGCAACCCCCTCAATTCGAGAAGTACGACGGAGCCTCGGACCCCAACAGTCACATTGAGGGGTTGAAGGCGATAGTGATGCTACACAACTCCTTTAAGGGTCTCATGTGCAAGGCCTTTGTCGCCAAACCCAATACGCCTCCTTCTAGTGCGGTCCATATCCTCCTAGGAACAATTAGAGACACAGTTTCTAGCAGTAGGGGTGGCCATGAGTCGAGCCTTTCACGAGCTATTCGAGCTCGGCTTGGTTCGGTTTAAATCGAGATTCGAGCCGAATTCAAGACTGATATATAGGCTCGTTTGCTAGTCAAGTTGAACTTGAGCCTAGTGAATCTCAACTCGTGAGGCTTGCAAGCCTAGTATTAAATAAATAATTTTTATTATACATATATAATAAATAATTTTGTTATATATATAATAAAATTTTTATTAATATAGTATTTTTATTTTTTATGTATAATAGTAAATAATTTTATAATTATTTTTTTTGTATATACAATATTTAATAATTTTTATAATTCTTAATTTTTTTGTCTAAAAAATAAAAAAATAATAATTTTTATTTTTCAAAAAAAATACTTGGCTTATAGTCGAGCTCGAACTTGCGAGCTATGAACCGAGTTGAGCTCAAGCTCAAGTCTCTAGCTTCAATTGAGCTCGAGCTCAAGCCTGATACTATTCTTGCGAACCGAACTTGAATAGCTAAGTATTTGGCTTGGCTCAGCTCAAATCCACCCCTACCTGGCGTAGTCCACCATCAGCCAAAGGTATTAGAAGACGTCACCAACCTCATGCAAGTATGACAAAGGAAAGGAGAAACCTTGAGGGAATACTTGGCAAGGTTCAATGTCGTGGCCCTTCAAGTCTGAGCTCTAGACCAATTGGTAATTGTGACAGCCATCATGAGTGGGTTGCACTCCTCAATGTTTAGCTTCTCGCTGCAAAAGAACCCTTGGCCCAATCTAACCGTGCTCATGAAGCATGTGTAGAAGTACATGAACTCTGAGGAAGCCCAAGCACTACAAAGGAGTAAAGAGGACCAACATGATTGAGGACCCTACCGTCAACGTATAAGAACTTTACTCCCCTAAACATGACATGGACAAAAATATTGGTGCAGATCCTCAACCACAGCTTCATCAAGTGGGCTGAAAAGATGAAAACCTAGGGCAACTAGAGGAATCAGGACAGGTATTGCGATTTCCACCGAGACCACGACCACAACACTGAAACTTTCCACAACCTTTGCCACCACCTGGAAGACCTTGTTTGATGCGGATACCTCTGTGGGTTCATCGATATAAAAGAGCATAGACCCAGAGAAGAGTTGCACCGCACCGATGAGCCCCCAGCCTGAGCTCCCCCAATTGGGGTCATCGCCGTCAACTCGGGCGAGACAATCCTTAAAGGGGGAAACTAGGCACTGAAGACATACTATGAGGAGCTAGAGTGCTAGGACTAAGATGTACTGACGACAATTAGCGCTGAGCACTAATGGCGACGGGGTTGTACACAACAAATAAGAAATTTTCTTCAAGCACAAACAACCAAACGCCTGCACACAGTCTGGATGAACTCCGCATTAACCAATGGTTGCACTACGACGGCAACCTCATCAAAGACCCAATCGATCTATAACGGCTGAGGCCCAACAAGCCCTTCATGGACACTACAGGAACAACGTCCCCACTACATAATGGCAAGAGGATGACTATCGAACTTTGCACACCCTCCCGGCTTGCAGCCAAAGCAAACCTAACCGAGGACCACAGCAAGCCTAGTCAAAGAACGTAAAGCTCTCCAAGACCAAGTGCCACCAAGCTCCCCGGCAACGTTGAGATCTTGGAAACACCTCGGCTAGCATAAGACAGAGGCCACTAAGCCAAAGACCTCGGCCAATGAGAATTAGAGCCAAAGGTCTCGACCAGCATAAGATTAAGGGCATAGAGCCGAAGACCTCAACTAGCATAAGACCGAGGCCACGAAGTCAAAGACCTCGGCAATCCCAAGACCCCGGCCGACATGAGATCAAGGCCACGAAGTTGAAGACCACCCTAGTCATCCTGTGTCAAGCCCAAGACCTCGGCCAACATGAAACCAAGGCCATAGAGCCAAAGACCCCAACCACAGCGTCAAGTCTGAAACCCCGACTAGCTTAAGAGC